TTTATACCATATTATTTTAAATATCTATTTATTATTTATATAGAATCTTATTTTCTCCCAAGTTATGAAACCACTTATTTATTGTTGCTATGGTATATAATCATTGATAAAAACTTTTTTTCCCCGGAATTCATTGTTAATTAGTTGTCTTATAACAAGTTCATATTACTGAAAAATGAAAATAATTATGACAATCTAACCTTATAACTATTTAATTAAATGCAACTGTAAATTATATTCACATTTCTATTTATTAATACCAATCATCAAATAACTTGGTTCTAATGATATAACTTTAGAGGCTCACCAGTTGAAATTATTCTAAAGACTTTACTTGACTATTTAAAAGAGAAAAATTATGGGATGATTGATCTGTTCAATTGCGATATTCATTCTTATGTCATATAGAATAGATAAACTGTGAGTAGCAGTGGAATCTAGGACAGGTGTTTTGTTCTTGTTGAGATTTGTCAAATGATTGTACCTGAATCTAAGGATGAAACATGTATCCTAGATTTCACTGCTACCTAAAGTTCATTTATTTTAAATAATCTTGTTATAAAGAGAATCTTCACAGGATGTACAAATGCCAACTGAAACTGGTCGAAATTCATTCAAAATATGAACAACATGATAATAAAAATGATCGCAAATTGAATTAATTCTCATTTAATGTTGAAACACTTCAAACTGACGGCTGACGATAATTTTAGTGAGTTTGATTTAGTCGGTTTTTTAACATCGTTATTACATTATCTAGAAGTAATCACTTGAGGGAAGTTCCAGCGGTATGCGAAATCCAGGATTACATTATTCAAGTATAGAACTTCAAGTCATGGACTACTGGAGTATCCTAAAAGAACAGTATCTTCTGACGTTAAGGAATAAACATCATATAGTGGAACCAGTTGCTGGGATTAGTAAAAACTACTTATCCTGCAATCTTTCTTACTGCAAATTCAAGACCTAGTTTATAGTAATAAACTAACATATTTATATTGGTACATTAATTTAACGATAAACTGTTCTTTACTGCATATTATTCAAATAAACATCGTTATGAAATACCCGAAGAATAAAGGAGTAAAATTTCTCATACTCATATATTCAAGTTCAAAATATCCTACTTTAAAATGATGACTGTAAAATCAGAATGAAACAATAAATTTTTTTAATAACTTCATCAACACATCTTGGTCAAGTTAACATAAGCATAGAGATCAATACAGGATCACATACAATGTCCGATAATCTCTTTAAAATAAAGTATTTAAATCAACTACTTGAAATACTGCCCCTTAGTTCTTGTCATTCGATTGCTGACGTATTGGGACTTTACGTTTTCTTATTTCAGGCCCTAGTTTCACTGTTTTGAAACCCTCTGACCATGATTTATTTCTTATTTTGAATTCTTAATTCTTAAAATGTTTTCAGTTTGATAATACAATGACTATTCATCATACTGGTTACAACCGGTCCATTGAAAACTTTTAACAAATGAATATATGAACGTCAGTTATCTTTGATAAATTAACAAATCAAGGAAGACATTTCATTGCCTTCCTAATAATTAACTTCATCGTGGAATAAAATATTTAAGAAGCTCATTTACACTAGATGACAAGAAGTTCCATTTGTTGAATAAATTGTTATCTGCACAACGATATCGACTGTCTAGAATTTGTTAGTATGAAAGACATTTCGAAAGCCTTAAACGTTTTCGAAATTGAGACAAATTGATTAAATCAATCAGAGTTCATGATTATCATTTGTTGTCATCGATACTAAGCTACTGGTCTTACATATTGAGAATAAACAAATTGATTTACTTCAAGTGTTATAAACGAGAGCTTTTAAATACTCTTTAAATAACATATTTGTTCACAGTAAATTACTTGTATTCAAAATGTTTACATTCAGAGTTCCCTTCACGTTGAAGAATCTTTTCATGTTGCTAGAATTAGTTTAAGTTGGAAATTGTGGGATATTTTGTTTTTATTTATTAATTGAACACTGTTTTTGGTTATCATCACAAGAGAAGACGTTCTTAGATTGAATCTCATTTAGATCAGTACTACTGATATGTTATTAAGTAGGAGTGAGTTGATTATTTGATTAATTAAATGAGTTAAGAAAAACTGTTTATATATTCATGAACCAATTAAATGGAAAAAAAATCAATGTACTGAATCTAACTTTTGAAATATTTTCTATCTCCGATTCATGTTTATAATATAGTAAGAGAGGAATGATCACTAAATGAAATGACCTTAAAGTTTAGGAAACTTGTCCACTATAAAATATACATGTTATTAGGTTGGTAGAATGTTAGATAGCAGTTATTCTTTGGTTAGATTGACGTAAACTACTTGTCTAATCCAATTCTGTAAATGAAATCGAAGTATAACCACTCTGCACTCAATTTCGATATTATAAGTTTTAATGTTCCGTGCTAGTTAGTACTCTTCAGTAAGTCCATAGATCTATCTATCAGCACTGTGGAGCGAAGTTGATATTAAATTCTACATACAGATACATGTAAACACCTCGGCCCTACAGAAAGTCATTTGTACTTAAATGGCACTACTTTTGACTATGAAGCTGACCAACGCGGGTTCAAATCCTACTGAAAGTATTAATTTCTTCAGGATTTCAGGCACGAGTCGCTGACAATTGTCAACTAAAATTAAATTTTGATCCAAGGTTTACAACAGTTGCCTATAATCTCTCAAATTAGACATAAACTGTATAATTTGCTTCAGAGATCGACACTACATGCAAAACGTTATTTGTCAATTGGTATAATACCATTAAAATAATTCAAGTTGATTTTCAAATATTATCTTATTTTCCACATATTCTTCCAGTTGGAGAAATAACTGTTCATCAACTGAGAGTATTCACATGTTCATAATTATTAGTAGCAAAACACTCAACTGATTCTCTCTATTGTTATGTTAATCGGCACTTAGAAATTCAAAACTACTTATTTCGTTTCAACATTCATAAGGCGGAATTATGTCATTCATGATTGTTCATCGAACCATGACCATAAACATCACTAGACACACTTAATAAGAATGAGAGTTCGTGAATGAGCACTACTCAGGAGTCCTATACTGGGACGAAACGGCTATTCAGTGCTTCCAGGATTTCAATGATTGTCTAACATCGATCAGCTCATCACTTCAACTAAAACTGAACGATCTCCACAACCCTATACTGATGAATTTTGTTTAATGTTTATAAGTTTTATGTTCTTATGAAGCAAGTCATATCGTTCAAAGCTCATAATCATGAATACCTTCCATCATGGCTGAGCAAAGAGGCTGTGAACACGGTAACCATCTCAATATTAGCTTATTTAATGCAAACTGATAATAATCAAGAATTTTTTAATAATTCATGGGGTTGGTAAACTTTTACCCAAGTCAGTCAGACTAAAACGTTCTCCGAACGGAATAAACAGAAACCATTCGGATTAAAGAACATGACTAATATGTGCTAAAGAAATATGTTTAATCTCTTACTATAAGGTCACTAAATCAGTGGTAATCTTAATTATGAATAGCTTTATTTGATTAATACACATAGGAACCTTTCCACGTATGTATTTTCACAAAGTGAAATTTAAATATCACTGTTGGTGTTATTATTATCATTGTTTCAACATCTCTATTGATGCTTCATTAACCTGAACGCTTTAGTTAGTACTCACTACATTTCATTATTTTTTATTGAATACATATCACTTCACAGCATTCCATACATCACACACTCCACTGAACATTTAGTATGGTTTGTAATTACATTATTTTCATGGATTTTATATCACAAACTAATACTAATTAGATGACCGCTGGAAAACTGTAAGGATTGTACACCCGTATTGCACGCAAGATCAAAGGTCTTGAGTTCCGTTTCCGATGCCTTTACTCAGAAGCCTCAAATTAAGACGAAACGGCCGTTTAGTGCTTCCAAGTATTAAATGTTGGTCGAACTAAGTTCAATTTGTGATAGAAAATCTACGAAAATTCCATGATTTCATAAAACCCTGTACTGATAATTTTGCTATTATTTCTGTCTCATTCTATATTGTAGTAAATGAGAACAAAAGTGGAGATAATCAAATGTGTTTGAACGCAATATTAAAAAAACATTTTAGTAAAATCTGAGAACCATACAATAAATACCTAATTTCCAAACTGTCAATCAACTATCTCAAACTTAACAGTTCCTTCTACAAATTGTCAATCAATTGTTTAGGACCTTATTGTTCTTTTGTTTTCACATCAATCATTTTTTGTTCTCATTCTCGTTTTCTTTCATTCGATCTTCTTAACCATCTGCCTCTAGACATTTCATTTCTGATTATTAATACATACTATTAATATCTGTCGATATCAGTAGCACACGCCATACTAATATAGTAGTGAACAAGAACACGAGTGGAGACAACTGAATGTTATACACGAAATTACAGAGCATTTCACTAAAATCTGAGAACCATATAGTTAATTTGCAAAATATCAATCCATTGTCTCAAACTTCACTGTTCCTGTTGCAAATATCAGTCCATTGTCTCAGATTTTATTGTTTATACATTTTCATGCCAATTACGCTTTGTTTCCGTTCTTTCCTTATTGATCTTCTGATGAAAAACATTCTATACCCGAACACCACTGTATACTACTTATATGAATATAAGTAACCGACACCACACTATATTTTGTTTTAATTAACAAAAATATTCAGTTTATTAAAATGTTTAGTAAAAATCACAATTTATCATATATTTATTGAAAAAAACAGTTAACCATGTAACCAACTTCACATCACATGTATAAAGATTTTCATTATATTCAATTAATTTCAATATGACAATAAACAAGGTCAGCGTAAAATGATCCAATCCAATTGAATGATTTATATTACAATGAATGTATTGGTTACATAATTATTATTCTATGGAATAAATATGAAATAATATTAGTGTAATCACATTACAAATCTATTATGAAAATTATGAAAGAATTCTTTTATCTTATACAATTTATATTAATTTATTATGTAATTAAGATCAATTGTAATATCAATTCAAAATCAATAAATCAATCAATTAAATATGAACCAAATTGGGATTCATTAGATAAACGTCCATTACCAAAATGGTATGATGAAGCTAAAATTGGTATATTTATACATTGGGGTGTATTTTCTGTACCTAGTTATCGGTAGGTAGTTATTATAAATATTGAATAATGATTTATATTTATTTTAGTTTATATCAAACTTATTTTAATGTATCTATGTTGATAATTAATTATTGTTATAGGGTTGAAAACAATATAATATGTTGTGGATAGTAATTTCATAGCTAATTCAACCAGGTCTGTTGTGAGATATCAGCTCACTGAAGACAATCGTGTACGGCGGCGCAATTTTTCGGATTGGTTGAAGTTAGACATTAACACCGTTGGATGCCGATCGACTCAGTAGTCTAATAGTTAAGCGCTCACGTGCAAGACTGATAGGTCTCGGGTTCGAATCTCGCGGAGGACGGGATCGTGGATGAGCACTGCTAAGGAATCTCATACTAGGACAAAACAGCCGTCCAGTGTTTCCAGGTTTTTCATGGTGGTCTAGCTTCAATTAACTCATGATTTTAACTGGTGTAATTCTTATACATTTAGAAGTAGTATGAAATTTAGTTATACCGATAATGGTGCTGTGAAAAAAAAGTAGCTATGGATAGTGTTGTGTCCATATGGCCTGTTAATATATTACGTGACTACATCGCCAATACAAACACCGATTTGTAGAAGCAAACTAATGATGCACTAACCACTACGAGCAGCCTAAAGTCAAGTCTGAGTTCTTACTGATTCTTCTTGACGAAACGTTCCCCTTTGAGTCTAGAACACCAATATTAGCCTATGATATGTGAATCATGTATATCATACATACGCAGTATATATACAAGCAAATCAGACAACATCATACCAGAGAATAGAAAATAACAATTATACAAGATCAAGCCAAAAGTGGTTGTGAGTGTGAGATATTTTAGCTAATAAATTGGGAATAACTTAAATACAGTAAATCGTATAATGGTAGTCAATCGGTCAAATGGAAGCTTATGATAAAAGAAATATGAATATACATATAACATAGTTACTTAATAGTTATCCAATAAGAATATATACATATATAACATCGGTCCATAAATAGATCCTAGCAGTTACCATTCATCTATTCTTCGTCCATATATAACAGATCGAACAGTTAAAAGACATTTTTTTAAAGTTACACTATATTAAGTATTGATGTTATATCGAGAGAAAAAATATGAATGATTTCCTTTTAATCAACTGATAAGAAATATCATGTGTACAGTTCCCTTTATTATCTTGAAGAAGACAAAAATAAAATTTTGGACAGTAGAATAACATTAACTCATTGCATATAGTTTGGTTCATCTCAATTGGTTGAAGATGAATGTACTAATCAGGTTGGTTGAAAGATTTTATGAACATGTATCGGCGTTGTATATCACAAATATGCTAATAAGTTCAAGAGATCGAATATTACAAGTATGATTCATATGTAGAAGAACATCCGACAAAATTGATGATAGGAAAAAAATCAAAGGTCTAGAATTAACTGATTACTCAGTGGAGATATTAGCAAGTGATGAGTATTTAAAGAAAGCAAATTGATTAAGGAGTGTTGTGGAGTTTGTTGTATTTTTATCATTTAAATTCATGAGTCAATCTAGGATAGACCATCATTGAAAACCAGGATGCACTGGACAGTCACTTCGTCTTGGCATGGAATTCCTCAGCAGTGCACATCCACGGCCTCGAATGCAGAACTCAAACCCGGGTACTTTAGTCTCATACACGGACGCTTAACATTTAGACCATTAAGCCAGCATCCGAGGTGTTATTTTCTAACTTCAGTCGATCCATGATCGTTTGCAATTCTTCATCTATTATCTGAGGTGGGTAAATGTCTCCACCCGACACGGATTGAAATCCACTGATCACGGCTTCTCTTTAGAACTCCAGAAAACTAATCTTGAAGCTAGTCACTAGTGAGCGCATGATTATTATCACCGTTTCAATGGTAGTCTAGCTTAGATCGACTCGTTAATCCAGCTGTGAAAATATTCATAAGTTCTAAATAATATACCTTCATGCGAACTCTAAACTAGAGTAAAATGTTTCTGTAAATGTATCATGAACTATGTTTAACAGTAATTTTCCACTAAATAGTGTTTTTTAGTATAAGGGATCGTTGAGATCGCTCGACCTTGTAGTTTTTGATTACAAATTGTCTTTAGTTAGGTAGCTTTTGAAATGATGACGTATGACGGTGATGTAATATCGAGAACTGATTGAAGTTAGAAATGTGAACAATAGGACGACAAGGCAGAGCTTTAAACGTTCGGCGCTCCTCACGAGACTTGAATGTCTTTAGCTAGATTCTTAATAGGGTTGTAGATCATGTTTTGTGGAACAGGTTATATGATACTAGCTATTAACCGATGCCCGATTATTGCAACTATTTTATTCAAACAAACCTTTTTACTATGAAACATATTAATGGAAGTTATCCGTTTACTGTAATTCTAATGAGAAAAGTACCATGGACTCATTCAGATTAAAATACTGTGAAAGATTTCCTGATTTATTTGGTAGTGTACACTTTTAAGTTAAATAATTCGTGCATAATTCAATAGTGACTGACGTCGTTGAATGATAAATCTATCTAATTACGTCTTTTTGTCTTCCAAAAATATTCTATGGAAGTGAAGAATCCACTCCTAGAAGATGGTGAGAATATTTCTCCAAGCTATTCATCATTATTTAAATTACTTTTCAATTAAGCATAATAATAAGTTTTTGGATTGTAGACTCAGTCAGTCGAATTTGATATGTATGTCATATCTGGTTCAAACTGTAAATCACAGTGAATTTCTCAGTTTTTAAATTAAGGTTTTATACATGTTTTAGGCAAGAAGTCATTTAACTTTAATGAATTCAAAAAACACTTATGGATTTAACTGAAGGGTTCAACCGAGTATTCAGTAATGGTGCATTTGTGAATCTGTAGTTCTGGTCACTTAAATCCGCCTGGAGCCCCTCCCAAGCCCGGATAAAGTAGGAGGGTTGGGCATGGGGTTAGCGATTCCATCCCGTATTTATTTATTTATTTGAATACATAACTACTGGTACTTCCGGAGAATAAAATAAGTATGCGCTACTTAAGAAAAATGTGCGATTATGAAGAGGTAGACGGAGGAAGATGAATATAATAAAAAGCAATAAATGAATGACAGTGAATAACAGTAGCGAATTATGGAAGAGACAGTTCACAAATAGAAAGAATCTTATCAACAAGAATAAATTTCTGATGATTTACATGAGAAACATAGAAGAAAATTACATCAGGATAGTTACTGTCTTCTATCTGATAATTCCTTAGGCTATTGTGCTGCACTATCTTAAGGACCCCAACTATGGAGTCTTGAATGACCAACAGATACCAGTTCTATAAGGTTTTACGACGGCATTTCATATACTAACCACCTCTCCTCTTTCACCAACTAGTTCTAGGGTTGAAATATAACTTATGATGTTCAATCGTAGCATATACCTGAGTTACCGAAGCCGGTATTTCAACAGTCACATTAATTAGATCGTCGTGACTACTGAATTTCAGGTTTACTAACACAGTTAATTTTTGTAGATTTTATATCATTTTAAAAGTTATTTTTATTATGGAACAACATTCTACAAAAGATAAACTAATCATTTAATATTCATTCCTTTTATCTTGAATAGTGCTTTTCTTCATATCAGCTGATTATTGATTAACACAGTCCTAACTTTACAATATCATTAAAATCTATAACTAATACGTCTAGGAACATAATTATTGATTTGGTTATTATTAAAGATTATTTAATCTTATAATAAATATTCTGGTATATTTGTAATTTTATCAATCTTAATTCCATAACTATATTGGTTTCAATAAATTCACTTGAATGTATGAATGTTTATGAATCACTTAAAAAGATAGTTGTTTGCATGTATGTCACTTAATCAGTATGATATTAAATAATCTAATAAGTTTGATGTAACTATTTGTAACCTTATTAGTATTTATACACAAAGATGGATAGTAGGTAGCAGTGGAATCTAGGGCGCGCGTTTTGTCCTATTTGGGACTCGTCAGCTGGATGTACCTGTATCTCAGAGTTGATGTTCACTCTGGAACTCGAACTCAGTACCGATCGCATCAAACATCATCGCGTTATTCACTTAGCTACTGAGTTCTGATAGCCACATGCTTGTGCAATGGGGTAAAGTTGAAATTTACTTGATATTGTTCGTTCGAATCTTCCTATTGATGTTTAGGATTGCCAATCGGATGAAACGCGAGTCCTGGATTCCATTTCTAGCCACTATCCATCTTTGCATATAATGCTTGTGACTAAAGGCTATATAGAAGCATCCGCACAGGATGCATATATGCCTATAAGAGACTGATCAAATGCAGTCCTAAACATCAATAGGAAGATTGAAATAAACAATACCAAGTGGAATTATTAGTATTCGTTTAAATATGATGTTTTAAAGATTAGTGAATTTTATAGTCTACATCACTGACTGGTATTAATTAGAAAACCATTGAAAGTTAGAAAGCATTGGATAACTTTCTCATCTTGATATTGGATTCTTCAGCAATAACCATCCACACTTTCACTGGGGAATCTTATTTCTTGAGATGAAATCCATGACAATCAAACATTGTTAAAATCCCCTAACTGTTTAACATTTCAAACTTCAGTAAGTATAATATGACTTTTATTCATTATCATGGATGGTCATTAGGTGAACTTAAATGGCTATGATTTCTTATTGTAACTCTAGTAATTAACCTTCAAGGTTGGCTGTTAGTAAGTACATGACGAATATATAAAGTTATTCAGATTGTAAAATATGTAGTTTCACAATATGAACTGACTAATCAGACAATTATTAACCTGTTCAACTTAATTATAGATAATTTATTCAATTAAATCTATTCTTGAATATGAAGTAATCGATAGAATATATAAATATAATTCAGCCTATCTGGTTTCAAATATACTGGCGAGTAATTTATTATTCAACAAGTAATCTAGAGTCCAACAAACATGTTACCTTGACAATTTCTGAGCGACTTAAAACTCTATGTTCATATCAACTTGCTGAATAATTTCAACAACAACAAAAAAACACAACCAAAATAAATTATGTAGATTGATTAAATTGGTTTTCGTGTTAATTATGGTTTTTAATTCCATCCATTAGCAATGAAGGATAGTAATTGTTGATGTTTATTATGTTAATTGATACTAAGATGATATAAATATGTGGATTTCCATATAGCTAAATATAAGTGATAACAGTTTATTTTGTTAATTGAAATGGTTTTATATTTTACAGTAGGTGACCATTTCGATTTAATAGTTAAGTGAGTTAAAGGGTCTGAAGAAGCAGAATTAATGAACGTTTAAGACTTCTAAGGAATAACAAGTATTCAAAGAATTTCATAATTAAATATGGCAAAACTAACGATAAAATACCTGAAGAAACCAAAGTAGACAAAAAAACTTTTTTCATTCAACTTGGACTCAAAGGTGACGATATGGTGTCGGCGATAGACAGAAGATTAAAAAAAATACACTGACCAGTACGCATCGTGCAGCCAAGCTGATTGTCATTTATAAAACAATGTTATTTATTTCAATCAAAATCTGTCAGGTAACCGTTTCGTGTCACCGATAACTGTGTAAACAAGTTTACACGTAACTGTCAAAGCAGTTACATCAGTAGGACAGAATGAAGAACGTACGTTTGATTCTAAAAAGCCCCAGGTAAATAGGGTTAGAGACCTTTGGCAGTGCTAATGCAAAACTTTAATCACGAAATGAAAAGCCAAAGGTTCACATTTCCAATTTAATTGAGTTTAAGTAGGAACATGAAGGTCACCTAATAACATCAGTGTTGCTGGATGCACCCTATTCATGGTTGAAGACTCCACCTGTTTTCATAACACAATTGGATTTTGACGATGTTAAGTTATCAATTAATTTAAGCTGAAACCCACGTAACGCACACCTTGAGCTAAAGGGCCTGCCTTCGGACCTTGATGGAGTCATGGATTGACGCTGCTGGAGTAACTGTTACTCGAAATAATTCACTGAACAGCGATTTATTGTTCATAATGATTTTCTAACTAAAGCCAGTGAATGATATAAGGTCACACTGTGAGTGACTTCTGATTGGTTTTCTAAGTAGTTTTTTTCTTTCACACTACAGGACTGAATGGTTTTGGTGGATGTGGCAAGGTGATAAAACAGCAATGCCTGAAATACCGGAATACATGCGTAAATATTATGAACCAGATTTTGCATATGCTAATTTTGCAAAACAGTTTCATGCGGAATTTTTTCAACCTGATAAATGGGCTGATTTATTTCAGAAATCAGGGGCACGTTATGTAGTACTTACTGCGAAACACCACGAAGGCTTCTGTAATTGGCCGTCTACTAGTTCATGGCAATGGAATTCAATGGATATTGGTCCAAAACGAGATTTGGTCGGTGACTTGGCCACATCTATTCGTAAAAGAACTAAATTGAGATTTGGTATCTATCATTCATTATTTGAATGGTTTAATCCATTATATTTGCACGATAAAGCAAATAACTTTACAACACAAGTGAGTTGATTCATTCTTGATTTATTTTTGTTTGTCATTAAGACTCCATGTATTAAGCAAATATTCTAGGTTTTTTTAAACCCAGCTAAACAATACTGGTCATTTTGTGTAAAGTACTAAAATGTTAAGATAACAGAGTTCTGTTGAACCCCATCACAATAAAACTATTAGGTTATATTTCGTATGCGGATATTTTAAGCATTTACGCGCGACACCTAATGTCCTGGGTTCTAATCCCATGTGAGGGGTCGTGGATGCGCACTACTGATGAGTCCCATACTAGGATGAAACGGCCATTCAGTCCTTACAGGTTTTCAATGGTGGTCAATCCATAATCTCAAAACTCAACGATCTCAACAACTCTCATACGGATATGAGGTTATATTTGTATGTCTAATAATTGGGTAAACTTTTTTTTATATATACGTCCTCTTTTATTATTTAATGGACATATTCGAAATAATATATGGTAACATCGTAGACTTTTAGTAACTACGCGCTTCAAAGACAAATTTCTAAACTTGAGCATGTCTAAAAAACAAATGTTGTTTAACATACATGAATCTTCAATTATATTTTTTTACTCAACAATATGCGGTTAAGATTGTGGGATTTACTTAATGAATTTTGAGAAAACACATCCAATAATTAATTAAAACTACTGAATTTCAATTTAATGATATAGATATATGAACCCGCTATGGGACCTATATTTTATATGTTTGGTCGGAAGTAGCGTTTTAACTATACTACTATTGAATCTTCACTTGATGTAGATCCAATAGCAGAACTATCTCCAACGTGGATGACACACCATAACTACTTATCTAACTAAACACTTATGTACATCCACCGATTAACTTCGAGGTAATTTCTCAAAATTTTAGTGAAAAGGGATGTTGATTTGTGAATTAAGACATTTTACCAATAACATTGGATTATGATTGAGTTATGTATCAGATCAACTAGAATCATAACTACGATCTGTCTGATTTCAACTCAGTGATCGAAATTAGTAGGGGCTGGTACTATGTCAAGTCCACATAGGTTACTCTAGCCCTCTGGACAGACCAATCTATTCAGTCTTCTCAAGCTACATTTTATCCTGTCACTTATTTGCTATTTATATATATGCTAATTACTGATCCTACTCATTATGTGATTGTAACCTATTTTTGTTCGGCCATAAATATCGATATATGCTTGGTTAAACGGAGTTGACTCACTCGCCATCTCCATTGCGTGTCACTTTGTTTTGCTTCGCTTTCCGATTAACGGTTGTACAAAATACAGGTATTCAAAAATCCTTTCTCGTATTTGACTTAATTTCGTTATTTGCTAACTCGAGTTAAGTCGATAATTATATGCAAGGATTGGCCACATGTATGTTTCGACAGCATTCATTTAATAACAATCATTCATGTGATCCTAATGGAATCAGATATTCTACTAAAATGTAACGTCCTAGCTGAAAAACTTGAAGGTATTGGGATCAATCTTGTGTGAGACCTTAGATATGACCGATGAGGATTCTCAAAATGAAATAAAATCTATAGACTAGTATTACAGGGTTTTCAATGGTATCAATTAGAGACAAAAAGTATCTCTTATCCAAATCGTATTTATTATGAATTAATCTACAAGTTTATTGAAACAAATATGTTCATGTGATGTGTACACATTTTTATTGATTAATTATTATTCTGTGTCATCTCAGTTATATTTATATAGTCATATTCAGTGTAATTAATATTCATATTGGGTAGAATCAATAAATTTAGAGAAAGCAGAATGCCCTAATGATGTGCGTAGATAAGAATAGGTGTATAAGGAACTCAATGTAATCAACTGGAATTTATTGAAAATATTTCAATGGTTAAGATCATGAGTCGATTGAAGCTATACCACCGTGGAAAACCTGGAAGCACTGGACGACGGTTTCACCCTATTGTGAGACTCCTCAGCATTTGTTAACATTCAATTTGAAAAGTATTGATTTTATCATTTCAACATTTACGGTTACTAAGTCGGTTATGTTTTGTTCGTGTATTATAATAATTTCATAGAGAAGTAACTTGTATATGGACACTATTTAAATACTTAACCGAAAGTACTTCTCGGGTAAAACTGGGGTTAGTTGGACGCAGTCATATCAATGAGAGAAAGATGAACCGAATGTGTCTGTGAAACTAAGTGCATTGATTAATATCCTAAAACTGTTTCTCTATGCATGTGCCTATCTTCCAAGTTTAGTGAAATAAGAGGTCAAAATATGCAACAGTCGACAGTATGTAAATAGATAGGCAAAAAGATGAATGTAAATTATACGTAAAGTTAATTCATTCTTAATAGTTCTAAAGAAATTCGAATACCTTTGATAATTGTATAGAGGAATATGTGACCAAAATGTTTAGTGATTTATATCAACTGTTCGTAAGTAATAAAACTATGTGGAAACTGATAACATTGCCAAAATTTTGGACGTTTAACATCATTTTTGGTTTTAAATACTTTAGACCATTGATTGATCATTGACCAGTGACAGGTATTATATATATTATACATTTACAATACTATTCAGGCCGCGACTGACTTCCTATGGGTTACTATAAGGTACATCGATTGTTCACTGAATGGTGGCTAATATCATTTTTGTCTTGTCTACCTATCAAGTTGAGATGTGGCTGCTAAACTTGGTAAATTGACATCGCAAGTAGTATATTGAAAGGTTAGTTATTTTGAGATAATCAGCGGAACTGTACAAATATGAACTTGGTCACTGCTCAGTAAGCAATCAGTTGCCAATATATCGACCATAGAAAAGGTCACTTACCATCATGACTAGGTGAGTGGTAATTTCTTAGATTGTGAAACTGAGTGAATCAAGTTTGAACCCACTAATGAATATCAGTCCCAACCAAATTCCCAGTATGCCATACGGTTATGTAACAGCTATCACGAAATCTATGTTTGGAATTTCAAATTTACTACCTCCAAACACAAAACACAAATACGTTTTTAATATTTAATCCATAAATTATAACCCTATCTATATTGTTTGAATTTATAGACATTTGTTGAACAAAAAACAATGCCAGAATTATATGATTTAGTATTACGTTATAAACCAGAAGTGATTTGGTCTGATGGTGATGCTGGTCCAGATACTTATTGGAATTCAACACAATTTCTTACTTGGTTATATAATGAATCACCTGTAAAAGATACAGTTGTTACAAATGATCGTTGGGGTAATGGTTGCACATGTAAACATGGAGGTTACTACTCATGTGATGATCGTTATCATCCTGGTAAATTAGTGAAACATAAATGGGAAAATTGTATGACATTAGATTGTTGTTCATGGGGGTTTAGAAGAGAAATAACTTTAGATAAAATATTAACACCAGAAGTAAGTGAAATGTTTTTATAAGATTGTTTTTGTTTTTAATTTACTTAGTAAAATGTGACTTGTAGATCATGGTGTAAATAAATTTTATTTCTTATGAACTACCGGATGCCAAATAAAGAATGTATAAAAACTGGAGTAATAGAATATATTAGTGTACTTTCCAAATCGAATTAAAAACTGAGTAGCCCTTATGTTCCATTTTGAGATACTTTGGTATCAAACACTCACGAATTGGATAAAGGATTTAATCTAAAATCTTCATGTCAAGCCTTATTCGATTAACTTACATCTAGATTCAAGTAATTGACAATATTTAGTGAGAGTTATCGTGTTCTTATAAAGTTTCAGTAGGAATTTATGTTCAATGTCGCTCGACTACATTTGGATTAACATAGTAATCGTCTATGGAAGAGAATGAGTGCCATGACATGTATTTAGGTAATTGTTTGTACATATTGATAGTTAGTAATGATAAAAAGGTGTAATACATGGTGTTATCAAGTCATGGAAACCAAAACATAAAATATTGATTAGTGCATAAATTGAAACTAACTTACCTGAGTTGTTAAATCAGTCCATTGATCCTGAGATCAAGTAGGAACTATACTTTGAAGCCTGATAACTCAAATAAAAGAAATTTTTATATAATTCTATTAAAATTCAAAATAAAGCAGATACACTGTAATAGATGAGCTTCGAGATAATTCTTTAGGCTTCGTATATCAATCACCCTGATAAATGTTAATAAATAAATCCCAACGGCGTATAAATTCAGAAGGCAACATGAAGAGCCGACTACAGTTTATTATAGAATAGCTCAGACCGTAAAGTCGCAACCACATCAAGCGAATTCGAGCAAGAAGGATAGTAAGAGAGAGCGAGCGAGCGAAGTAACACTCACCGAGTGGTTGGGTTACGTCATAATTATATATTGTCACATTGATTATAAAATAATATTAAATAATAATTGGGAGAAAGATAATTTTAATGACCAAAGTAATTATTCGAAAAATCAAATAGTTGCTACATTGTATAATATATGAAAAGAACTAACAAAATATTTTGATGAAAGGTAAGTATTATAATAGTTATGTAAGATTAGTATCAGAAGGGGTTTTACGGATATTATAGTAATTTTAATAACTGAGATCACCATGGAAAACCTGGAAGCACTGTATGGCCATTTTGTCCTATTGTGGGATTTTACAGCACTTTGAATCCAAGATCCCTCTTCACAAGATTCAAACGAATGTTCGAAATGTATAAAAATACAGAAGTTGAAGAATTTAGAAAATTGTTTGGATATTTTTGAAAAAGTTTAATTAAAGTTAAATTAAAACCTTACTCCTATACTGATGGCCAAGATGACGAGAATGGTTGTGCAAACTCTTTTTAAATTGTGCAAAGGTTAGATCTATGGTTATCAGTGTGGGAATTTGTGCAGATTGTAGTATTTTCACAATAGCCTAGGTTGACTCGTGATTTTGATTGTGATTAAACAAAAAAATAGATCTACGATGAACAAAATCTAAATCAAGCTTATAGTTAGAATCATACGGTATCCGCTAAAATTAAATGTTTAGTTGATTTAACGTAGGATATATACTAATGAATAGTGTCTTTTCCAACGGTGGAGACGGCTTTCAGTGAACTCAATGAAGCTCCAAGAAGCTCTGAAAGAGCCAAAGAAAATTCCAGAATCTCGACGCGAAGCTTCCAGACTGCACAAACTAATAACCACTGCATGCGGATTGGATTGTTGTAATGATAATTTCAGTTTCACTAAAAAATGTAAATACCCGACTGCTTTGCAAAATATTTGACACTGGTTGGAATAAGGCTCCTTTCCACTTGTTCTCTATCTTATAACTTCCAACTTGGAGGGTTCAAGAGTTTGATTGCACTGGTTGTACGCGGTATAGCAAAAATTTAAGTTCTAAATATAACATCAACTTTATGGTTTTCTCGAATTCCCCAATTTATTCTTTCACAATTTTCACTTTTAAGCAACTTATTTCTGAAGTTATTGAAACTGTTACTTTTGGTGGAAATATTCTCATTAATGTTGGTCCAACTTCATGGGGAACAATTTCACCTATTTATGAAGAACGTTTATTACAATTAGGTGAATGGTTGTCTATAAATGGTGAAGGTATTTACGCTACTCAACCATGGAGAATTCAAACAGAACCAAATTATGATTTTGTTTGGTAAGCATTTTAATTATGTTCAACAGATTTGATGTAACAGATTGTGTAATTGAATATCATTAGTGTTTATTTATGAATTTACAGAGAAGAAAATCTGACTTGGACAATTTGTCATGGGATATAATTGTCTTTCGTTTGAACTTCAAAAGTAACATGTTTGGTTTAATCTATAAGGGATTTGTATTGAATAATTTCTCGACCTGTTTTTTGTAATCAAAAGTTTCGTCTAATTGCTGTACATTTATTCCAGTTGTAGTTTTATGTTCAACTTTCGTCAGCGTTAAATGTCCCGAGAAATATGCTGAGTAGATAATCATAACTTACAATAGAGAAAAAACATCAAAAAGATCACAATTGTTAGGGTTGTAACAATATTCAAAGCATTTTATGAAAATCTTGAAAGGCGCATTTGTAGTTTCTTGGAAGACCTAATCGCTGAAAAATTTAAGTCTCTTTTAATTGAATTTAAAAACAATTTGTTCAAATCATTGTGCTTTATTTTTCTAGTGCTCTTCAGTCCCTTTTGATACTTGAACTGGATTGACAACATTAAATGTTTTCTATATTGTATTATCATTCTGGTATTTTCATTTGATAGTTACATAATCTTATATTTAAATTGGACGTTTTTCATGTATAAATGTCTTGGTATATCTGTGTATGATCAAATTATTTGAAGTATATTACACAAGTGCACCACGTTTTTCAGATCCTTTTCATCTGTACGCGGCACTTTCAGGAATTAGGAAAGATGGAATGAATAGGAAAAAGGGTTGACCTATGTAAATCTCATGGACTTGTAGAAGTGTCAGTTACGAAAATGAAATTAGTGTGTTTTCCATAGGTTATTATATGATAAGGCAATAGGGAGGAGGAATATGCATTTGTCGTGAGAAGTTACAAAGTATTTACATAATATTTATGCATAGCCTTCAATCTTCTATTTTTATCTTTTGATGTATTCTGTCATCTCAAACGTCTTCTCGTCTGATCTCCAAGTGTTCTGCCAACGCCAAGCTATCTATACATTGAAATACTTTACTACGTTTGACGATTGTTGCATTTCGCTGCCACGTTCCGTCACACACTACTTACAAACATTATTGTGAGTAGTGTCCACTACAATATTATTAACAATATTTTTGTTCGATAGATGTCGAATATGAATAGTTTAGTTACTTAACAATTATACAATAAAAATTTATGTATAGTATTAGTTCAGAAACAGATCCCATCGGGATATAAAAAAAGAATGAATAGCGACTGGAGACATCTGAAAAGGATTATCTAGAACAGAGTTCGATGAAGAATGCTGATGTGTGACCTATGTTCCTTTACGAGGTGTAACAGGCGTAAGTTAATAAGTAAGTAGGTTTTAATAAGTTAGAAAGGGGTAGAAAGGTATTTCGTTTAATTTTTTTAGGTTTGGATGAAGCAGTTTATCCGAAGCTTCCTAGTTTCCGATAGTTGTCTTACTACAAGGTTAGTTCACGGTGTAAAAATTCAAATTCAGCAAGCTTCACATCAATCTACAATAACAATTTCAAGTTTAATAACTTGATATGTGGTACTAAAAGTACCGTGTGATTCAATTGGTGTTGTTTTACTTGTATCTTCTCATTGTCATTTAGGACTGCATTTGATCAGTCTCTTATAGGCATATATGCATCCTGTGCGGATGCTTCTATATAGCCTTTAGTCACAAGCATTATATGCAAAGATGGATAGTGGCTAGAAATGGAATCCAGGACTCGCGTTTCATCCGATTGGCAATCCTAAACATCAATAGGAAGATTCGAACGAACAATATCAAGTAAATTTCAACTTTACCCCATTGCACAAGCATGTGGCTATCAGAACTCAGTAGCTAAGTGAATAACGCGATGATGTTTGATGCGATCGGTACTGAGTTCGAGTTCCAGAGTGAACATCAACTCTGAGATACAGGTACATCCAGCTGACGAGTCCCAAATAGGACAAAACGCGCGTCCTAGATTCCACTGCTACCTACTATCCATCTTTGCTTATTGAGTGTGGAAAAACAGCCACAGCCTACGGACTATTAAATATGTGAATTCCCTTCCTATCACTGATTTTTACTCTGGACTCACTATCTCTGATAGCTTGTAATTGTATTGTACACAGTATTATCTAGTGTTAATCTGGTTGTTTATTTTGAATCATGAATTCTGGTTCTGATATAATGTGAGTAATCATATTAACGTATTTACGTATTATTATAATATACATATGAGAAGAATAAAACATTGTAAACCATCGGCGAGACTATAATTTATGGACGAATCGATCACGCATAAGATAACAGGTCTTGGATTTTGGCGCGAAATTCAATCATGTATTTGGCTAAATAGAGTTTTGGCAATATAGATTATATTAGTTCATGATGAAAACCTGGAATCTAATTTTTAACCTTAATCATCAACTGTTAATCATAATTCTAATTCCTCACACAAGTTTATAGACCACCTTTGGTCCTAGTTATTAGGCGGACATTCTCAAGGTCTGTTTAGAGTCTCTCAAAGGTCCTCCACAAATTAGTCTTACTACAATAGACAATTAGATTATTGATTATTATTCTAACCTGAAATGATAATTTTTTATTTCACTAGTTGAAATCATGAGTCAATTGAAGCTAAACCACCATGGAAAACTTGGAAGCACTGGACGGCCGTTTCGCCCTAGTACTAAAATCTCCACAAAACCCCTTCTGATAATGATCCTCTGCTTACTGCTGTCTGACTTCAAGAGACATTTCCTGCAGTTCTAGTGAGAAGCTGTTACCAGTGGAGTTTAACCAGATCTGTTGTGAGATATCAGCTCACTGAAGACAATGGTGTACGTTGCGCAATTTGGTGGATTGGTTGAAGTTAGACATTAACACCGTTGAGTGCCGGTCGGTTCAGTGGTCTAATGGTTAAGCGTTCACGCGCGTGACTGATAGGTCGTGAGTACGAATCTTGCGGGGGGCAGGATCGTTGATGCGTCCCATACTAGGACAAGACGGCCGTCCAGCGCTTCCAGATCTAGCTTCAACTGACTTATGATTTCAATAGTTGAAATTACTAAAAATCTCCACAAAACCCCTTCTGATAATTCTTTATTTGTATTACTTTTAATTTTAGGTATACTTATAAACCAGCATCGATTGATAAGAACATAAATGAATATATGAAAATGCCAGTTTTATATTTATTTAAAAGAATATCTTTTATTAAACAAAATCCATCTATAGTATATGCTCATTTAACAAAATGGCCAAATAGATTTTGTAACAATTTAACAGAAACATTATCATTAACAATGAATGATCAATCAATAAAAACAAGAACATACTGTAAAAGAGAATTACTTTTGGCATCTATTAATGCTCATCCGAATTTATCTAAATTTACTTTATTAGATGGAAGTTTAACTGGTATTCAATTATCTTTTCAAATCATGAATAAAACTACGATGAATGGTGTAATTATTAATTTACCTGATTTAATTATTCATAATGATAATAGAAATATATTGAAATATGCATGGACAATACGTATGATAAATGTGTTTTAATAATTTATTGATCTTGATTTATGATTTGATTCAAAACAAACAAAAAAATAAACAAGCAAACAAACAAACAAAAAGTGTAAACAGTTTACAAATGTTAATTTCAAATTATTTGAGCATTAGGTTAATTGTTTAAAACAATTGAAAATAACAATATTATTAGTAGTATCTCAAGAAAAAGAGGTTAATATAAAACACAATTAACAGAGAATATACGAGGGTAAATAGGGGGATTATACTTTAATAATGATCATCATACAATCTGATTAGTGACATATTGAGGAATTAAAAAAATTATTTACACTATAGTTGTGAAATGTTAAAAATTCAATTTTCGGTGAGACTATAATTTATGGATGAACCAATCAGATTTAAGATAAAAGGCTTTGAATTTTAGCTCGAAATTAATTCATTCATTTAGCTAAAGAGTTTTATCATTATAGCTTATGTCAGTTTGTGATGGAAACCCTATATCCAATTCCTAACCCTAACTATGAACTGTAAATATTAATTCTAATTCTTCACACTGGTTTATAACTTTCATTTAACCGTAGTATGTAGGTGAACATTGTTAGGGTTCCTTTAAATTATAGTCTCACCGTTTTGTTTTAATTTTAAAGACTTGTTTATTTAGTATCATTTTTATATGTACTTGGATTAATTTGGTATGATCATAAGAACTATATAATTTATAGACTTTTGAATTTCTTGTTTCTATGTAAATCGAATAAAAATTTCAAAATTATGCTTCTTTTTTTCTTTAAATAAGTTTTTCTGTTTTTTTTTTGTTTTTTTTTCTTGTATGTATTGTAAAGTTTGGCTTTTAAGGAGAAATTCGATTTTTCATAAAAACCAAGCCTTCGAAAACATGATTTTCTGTAGTTTTTTTGTATCACAGATTAACATTATTTAGATCGGTAGTGGAGGATAGGACAGTTTTGTCTTAATATAAAGCCATTGTGTACTGTACACTCACAACCCCACTGTAGGTCGGAGCAAAGACCTACTAATATGCAGAAGATAGCTTGTCTCAACCTAGATTAAGGCCTTGATAATTTGACTGACTGGTTTAACCTGTAAGCTAGTATGTTTAAGTCCGAAAAGAGACTAACTGCCTCGAGTAGAGACGAAAACTATTCTATCACGTGATTGTTTGACAAGCACACGTGAGAGAAAACGAGCCAACTGGAATACTACTCGATTTAGTTCTGATTACGATTTATAACTCCGATTCGGTTAGTACAAAAAATATAAATAAATAGATCAATAACATGACCACAACTCACAAACAACCAGAAAAACACAGTTATCTCCAAAATCGGGGATTAGGGTAGAAAATAGAGTACAAAAGACTACGTTTAAATTACAATAGTTTCAGAATAGAGAAGGGTATGGCAGCAAATCATACATCAAACAAAAGCTTATGGTTTGTAGAATAAACTAGGGTCAAAACTGAATGTTAGTGTTTAACAAGCTTTGAATTAAATGAAATAACGTCCGCAAAAATAGCTTTCATTGTTTGTCAAGGCTTCTTCCACATCAGTGATGATTAATAATGAAAACTGTTAGGCTAGGCTCAAGTGGTATACACTTACAAATTCAATTCAGTCAAGATGTGGCGTAACAGCCATTCTATGAGATTGATAACAACTGTATAAGTACAGATATTTTTGTACTCGGTTGTTGACAACTTTCTCCCAGTACTTCAGGATTAAAAGCTTAGCATTCAGATAGTTAAATAATCGGTAGTAGTATTATCGGATTCACCAGTTGTTGAAAGTATAGTTAACAAACATAAATTCAGAGATTAGATCAGTAAAACAATCAGATTTAATAGAGCACACTACGTCATTGAGCTAAAAAAATATATTCCGAAATTTAGCCAATTCGTTATTTAAAATCATCAGTGAGCTTTTGTTTTACATTTAATTTAAGAGAACTCCACATTTTACGCTACTCACTAATATATTGGGAGTATCATCCTTATACTGTTCACTATTAAGAGCACAGCTACGAAGTGATATAGCGTAAATTTATTCCAGTTGAAGTTATACTGTTATTATTACATAGGGAGAACTGTTTTCCAATTACTTTTAAATGTAGATAGTTTTTTTTAATTGTATACCTGTCTTTAACTAGCTACATTTTTTAAAATCTTTTCCACCTGTTACGGATAATTAGTTGATGATGAAATGATTGACATTGTTTTAGACAAATCACCGTACATTTGCCCGTTGTACCACTGGGATAGTGATTAATACATTTACAGAAATAAGACTGTTTGAATGATCGACTTTCCTATAAACTTATCACAATACAGGCCTTCTGTTATTGAAAGACAATTCATGAATTTATAAAATCCAACGTATAAGTAATCCACAAGACCGTAAATGAATTATATTGTTTTTGTCCAAAAAGGACTAATCAAATTTTAGTATAATTGCAGTGAACGAACAATAAGGTGGTGGGGAAAGCTGATTGATTATTTTACGCACAATTACATGATCAAAGATGTATAGTGCCTAGCAGTGGAATTCAGGACGCGTTTCGTCCTATTTGGGACTCGTCAGATGGATGTACCTGTATCTCAGAGTTGATGTTCACTCTGGAACTCGAACCCAGTACCATTCACTTCAAACGCCATCGCGTTATCCACTCAGCTACTGAGTCCTAATAGCCACATGCTGTGCAATGGGGTAAATTAAAATTCACTTGGTATTGTTTTACTTTTATCTTCCCATTGAGTTTTTAAGACTGCAATTGATCAGTCTGTTATTGGCATATGTGCATACTGTGCGTATGCCCCGATATTCCTGGATTCCACTGTTATCCACTATCCATCTTTGCATATAAAAGCTTGGAATTAAAGCAATATCGAGGCATACGCACAGTATGTACATATGCCAATAAATGACCGATCAATCTCTGTCTTAAAAATTCAATGAGAAGATACAAACAAAACAGTATCAAGTGGACAATTGCATAATGATTTGGTAAAATGTGAAAATCATAAATTCAATACTTCATTTACAAATGTTCAATCAATTATCTCTTATAAAATTTTATCGTTCCTTCATTCCTGTTAGTCTCTGTTTACATTTCTATTCTTCTCAATTAGATCTTCTCAACCTCATTTTAACAGGCATTCCATTTCTAATGGTGTTACATACTACTTATATCTACAAACATAAGTAACATACACCACATGATGTTAGATCAAATAAACTGACATTAACTAAATAAAATCACTTAAGCTAAATCCAAAGAATTTTGTTGATAGATTACTTAATTTATTCGGGTCCATTGTTTAGTTTAGTATCACTATAGTATACGACACTACAATAATAATAATAATAATAATAATAATAATAATAATAATAATAACAATAATAATAATAATAATAATGATAATAATAATAATAATAATAATAATAATTATTATTATTATTATTAATATTGTTATGGTTGTATCAGTTCAAGCACATTTTGATGTCACATTTTTCAACCCATGTAACATTCATTTTTGACCTGAATCTTTATTTTCATTCATTTTTAAATGACGTTTTTATTACATAAATATAACATATTTACACAATAATCAACTACTTGATTATAAAATAGTGTAATATTGTTTCAATGATAATATAATTGAAAGCTTGATTATATTATGTATGAAGATTTAATGAAATGTCTAGTTCAACAAATCAACTCCGCCTGAAGCCCCTCTGGGGCTGCCGCCGGTCTCAATCCCGGGTAAAGAAGGAGAGTTGGGCAAGGGGTTGGGGCCCCCGTCCCGTAGAAAACTGACTCGATAAAAAAACGTTAACCAGTTCAACAAATCTGTAAATAGGTAGTTTATGAAATAACATTCCTAGTATTTAAACTAATGGACATTTTACTCATGTTTCGATAGGATCATCAACTTTGAGAGATTTATTTATTTTATTCATTTAAACGCATAAACATTGGTATAAGGAGGCATCAAATACATATGCGCTACATATCCCGGGTTGGGATACTGCACAAGTGAACAGGATTTGTAGAGGTTACATAATTTAAGAGAACTGAGTGACTGGAAGGGGAAAGGGCTTTTAACAGTGCAATAGCTCGATATTTACTTGACACCGGGCATACCATTAATATTCCTCAAGCTTTAAAAATTACTGCTTCTCTTCGGTTTGTTGGAGTGATTGCGATTTAAAAAACACTCAAACCTGATCTATTTATTTAAAAAGAGACAGTAATAAACTTACTACTACCTTGGTAATTCAATTTTCGATCATTAGTTTTATTTTGTTAATGTTTAGTTTGTTATATTGTTCTTCCATTACTTAATTCTTATTTTACGTACATTTAAACTACCCCTTCACTCATACATTTCCACTCCATCAGTACTCTTAAATTATGTAAACTCTTCAAATCTTGTTCAATGATTACGCAACCCATCCTATCAGTTATTTTAATTCCAGGAATCTTGTGCACAACCTTCTTTACCTCTAAAATTATCACACAATTTATCTGTCTCCCAACTTCGCTCAATTAATACATCACCTACCCCTCATGTTTTCTCATACTAACACCAAATGACCTCCGACCTGTTCTTGTACACATATATAGTCATTATAGATAACTTTTGTCATTCCAATTCTGTTCATTCACTTATGTCAGTTGTTTCACACTATATCTAACCTCAATGTCAAATTTTAACATATATTTGGTTGTAAGCAGCTGAAACATAATTTTACTTACTTACTTACGCCTGTTACTCCTAATGGAGCATAGGCCGCCGACCAGCATCCTCCAACCCACACTGTCCTGGACCTTCCTTTCTAGTTCTATCCGATTCTTGTTCATTCTTCCCATGTCTGTCTCCATTTCTCGGTATGATAAGTTCTTTGGTCTTCCTCTCTCCCTTCGACCTTGAGGATTCCATGTAAGGACTTGCGTTGTGACGCAAATGGGTGCTTTCTTCAATGTGTGTCTTATCCACTACCAGCACTTCTTCCTGATTTCTTCCTCGACTGGAATCTGGTTTGTTCTCTCCCACAGTAGGTTGTTGCTGATAGTGTCTGACCAACGGATCCGAAGTATTTTGCATAGACAAATGTTAATAAACACCTGTATCTTCTGGATAATGGCTTTCGTGGTTTTCCAATTTTCCGCCCCATACAGTAGAACTGTCTTCATTGTAGTCGTTGGTAGGCGCGTATCATTGGATGACGTTCATTGTAATGCCCTTTTTCTTTGTTTTCAAGGAGGCTTTGATGATCTTTGGTCCATGAGATTCCCATCCTATAAGTGCATTTTGTTCTCGTTTGGACAGCATCAATGCAACTCCTTGTGTATGTGGGGCATATTCTTCTTCATGTCCGGAGTATAATAGCAGCTCCCCTGAAGCTAGTCGTTGTTGTCCAACTTGCGTCCAATGTGTTTCACTGATCCCAAGCACCTCTAAATTGTATCTCCTCATTTCTGCAGCAATTTGGAAAACTCTCCCAGTCTCCCACATTGTGCGAGCATTCCATGTACCTAAATAAATGGTTGCTCTGGTTGTCAGAAGGGGCATCGGCCTCGTGACTTCCGAAGAAACTCGGCTTTCATCATGAGGCGTCATAACTCTTTTAAACGAAGACCTTCTGACCCCCAGGGCAGAGTTTAAATGGTTTGAACAATTTTTTATGGTTAGCGTTTTTTTAGCGAGTTAGTTTTCTACAGGATGGGGTCGCTAACCCCATTCCCAACCCTCCTCCTTTATCCGGGCTTGGGACAGGCAGTAGCCCCTGGAGGGACTCCAGGCGGAGTTGCTGAAATAAAATGAATTCATATTATTTTGCATCCATATTCGTTCTGGCTTTGTTTAAAGTTATTTATTGTTGATCGTAGAACATACGAAAAACAGTAATCAGTGGTGGAGAAGATTCGTAGCTTAGGTAGATGATTTTGATGAAGTTTTGTTCTCTAAGCTGGACGGTTTAGTCTTGGAGCTTTCAGGACTAAACCATCCAGCTCAGCGAACAAAACTTCATCAAAAACAGTAATCAGTATTATACTGTTGAGCTTGTAAAATCAAATATTATTAATTTTTACCAATAACTCAGAGTTCTATATATAATTTTACCGAAAAATAATGATCAAGCTTCCTGAGATGATTATGAATAATATCATGAATAATTCCATTGATAACACATTGAGTGATGCAATTTTAAGTCACATAAGGTGCATCAATACCTCTAAATTTACAAATGCGTTGCGTTATCAGGTACCAGGTTGTATGACGCCTAGATCTAGAACTTCATGCTTGACAACGTAACAGATTTGTTGTGTACCCAAAATGTACATTTTGTAACCGATACGTTAACATATCAAAGCTGACTTTTCAATACATCATTGGCCATTGAGGCTAAATCACTGACTGATTTACATTATTTCACTGAATATATATATATATATATATATATATATATATATATATATATATATATATAAATCGATTGTGTGTTTGATGAGAATTAACTGTAACGCTTTATCCAGTATCCTAGCTTCAGTTTCTTCCCTAAAATAGTGAATTTAAAATATAAACAATGTTAAAATTTACCTACTTACTAAACACCAGATAATTCATTAGTAACGGTTGTTTGAATATTCAAGATGATGTTTAGGATCACTATCTACCAATCTCTATTGAGATTATGTACATCTTGTGCGGATTGTTTCAATATTCTCTCTAAGTCACGAACGGTATTCAGTTCAAATCCTGGGGTGAACTTCAACGCTTCAATGCACGTTCACCCAGCTGACTAGTCTCAATCCTAGTGAGATATAGATTGGATTAAAACATGTTCCATGCATGATTGTGTTAGTTGAACTCTGACTGGCTAAAAAGAAGACTAGAATATTCTTGTCTAAAAATTATAAATATACTA